AACCCCCCCCCCCCCGCCAAAATCCATATTTTGGGGTGATTTGCTACGAAACGATGGAAATTTGGGGGTTTCATGGCTCACCAGATCCTACCAAGTGGTGGTGGAGGAGTTCATGGAGTGCCGGGTGGTGGCCTTGGCCAAGGGCGGTGGCTTCGAGGAGGTGCTGGTGGCCTTGGATGCCTCCGCCGATGCCGAATACCCCGTGGTGGAGAGCGCAGGTGGGATGTGGGGTGTGGGGAGGGGGTCACCGCACCGGGGGGTACATCACCGGGCTTGTCCCTGTCCTCCAGGGTCACCCACGCTGCTGGGCACCGTCAGCAGAGCCCAGCTGGTCGCCTTCCTCCAGAGCCACCAGCACCCCCAGGCACCCCCGGGGGACAAGGTAAATGGGGGAGTGAGCACCCCACTGCACCCAAAAAAGTTGTTTTTCCACCCAAAAATTAACATGGCACCTTCCCCAAGCTGGCCACCACAGGGACACTTGGGGACAGCTGCGCCATCGAGCCTGTCATGCTCCAGCTCTCGCCGTGGACCTCCCTGCACCAGGTTTGGGAGGGGGGGGAATGCATCCTGATGGGGCCGGGAGCCACCAAAGCCCACCCCCCCACCCCCCCAACTCCATGTCACAGCGAGGGGACGTGGTGGGGGTGGCTTTGTCCCCACGCGCTCCCGTTGTCACCTCCCCAAGGCCCCGCCGGCTATGCCCTGGCCGGTGAGTCGGTGGGGATGGGGGGACACACCCATGGGTGGGGGACACCCACCACCCATACGCTGACCCCCCCTCCCCGATTCTCCACAACAGGCGCAGCCGCCTTTTCGGGCTCGGTGACTCATGCCATCTCCACGGCTTTACTGGTCTGTGAGGCCACCGGTCACCTGGGCCATGTCCTCCCCGTCATCCTGGCCGTGCTGGTGGCCAACGCCATCACCCAGAAGCATCAGCCATCCTTCTACGATGGCACCATCATCGTCAAGAAGCTGCCCTACCTGCCCCCCATCCGCAGCCGGCACATGGCGTAAGCCACCCCCCGCC